CCAAAGAGTAAGAATTGCAATGGTCGCCGAGGAAGCCCACTCTGGCTTGCCTCCAGGGACATCAGCCAAGTACAACATGTTAATCCCCACCTCAAAAATCAATGCCGGATCTAACGACGATGCCAAGAATGGTGCCAAGTGCGTAACCACATCCGACACTCCCACAAACCTCTCCCCATTACCGGACTCCATTCCATTGGCACTGGGACTTTTGGACGACCTCGAAAGCTTCCGAATCACTTCAATTGAACCCGAAGCCACTGATTTCACCGCATACACAAGTGGATAGACAGTGGCCCTAAAACTCTCCACCGGAAGAATTAATGACCTTGACATTATCGTGCTTCGCTTCCTCCATACAAAGTCAACCATGGATGAAACCCAATTTGATCGAATGGCAACGGAATTTTCACTATCTACTAGCTTATCACCAGCCAATCGGCTCATTCTTTTCGATTCAAACTCCTGAAACAACCTTCCAACGGACTCAAACGCGACTTTTGACACCGCATCAGACTTGTCCAGCATATTATGACCAATTCTAGTCCACCAATTCGAAACCCTATCCAACAAATTCATGTTGTTCTCACATAATGTCACGAGATCATCCCGCGCGAGGATGCAACCAAGGGTTTCCGTGATGGAGAAGCGGAGATTGTCGCTGGGAGAGTCGAAGCAGTTGGAGATTTCTTTATTGCAATCGGCGATTAGCTTACCGAGACGGTGCGAGGGTATGGCGGCGAGTATGGAGACTGCGGCGGCAGTGACATCAGGATCGGGGAAGTCGAGATCGGAGCGAATGCCAGTACAGACGGTTTCCCAAAGGTCGGCGGTGAGGCGTGTTGAGCGAATTAAGTCGAATGCTAGCTTTTTCGATATGGCGGAGGCCGGAGAGGCCACGATCTCTTCCACGGCGGACTTAGCGATCACGGAGATGTCGCGGCCCGCCGCCGATTGCTGGAGAGCTTGAAGGAGTGCGCCGGATTGACGGAGAGCGTCGTTGGACCGGAGGTCCGCTTGGATCTGAGCAAATAGTATGTCCATTTACGTGTGAGAATTGAGATTGAAAATGTCAGGGTCTTGTGGAATTGCTCATACGCTATAATGAGCTCGATCTCTATGGTGTTTGAATTTGATGAATGAGGCGCATACTGAATTTTCCTGGGTTAGATTTCTTTCTGCTAACAGAGAGAGATGGAGAGAACTGAGAAGAACGGTCGAAGGATTGCTTCGCACGGAGTAGTCTGTCGTACTCTGTTATTCGATTTGGATCCATGGGTGCTGGTCGTTAAGTTTTGGGTCCGGGTTGTCCCGGAAAGATTCTGGATTTTTAGGGTTAATCTCATTTTGTATCCTGAAATATCGTTCGAATTTTAATTTATACCTCTAAAGATTAAAAATTTTAATTTACAACCCTCAAAGATAGAAAATTGTATTAATGTACACCCCCAAAGATCAAAAATCTCAATTTGCACCCTCAAAGATAGAAATTTGTATCAATGTACACCCCCAAAGATCAAAAATCTCAATTTGCACCCTCAAAGATAGAAATCTGTATTAATGTGCACCTAAAACTAAATTGATAAATTATACTTAGATCCCCTCATATTTTTCACTTAATCATTTGAACCCCTTCACATTTAGAATATTACCCCTACATCTCATGACGTTTGTACATGTGTAAACATAACCACTTTTCGTTGATATCTATTAATATAATCGTTAAAAAATATGATTTTATCCTAATAAAAAATTATAATTTCATATTACCCTTTATTTTGTGAATTCGATATACTCTAAAGTTCAAAATCAAGCTTACCATTTGAATGTCTAATAGAATGTAGATATTTATAAAAAGGAAAATATGAAAAACATTATATAAATATCTACATTTTATTAGACATTCAAATGGTAAGCTTGATTTTGAACTTTAGAATATATTGGACCCATAAAATAAGGGTAATATGAAATTATAATTTTTTATTATGATAAAATTATATTTTTTAACGGTTATATTAACAGATATCAATGAAAATGGGTTACATGTTGTACGTGCATAAATGTCATGAGATGTAGGGGTAATATTCTAAATGTGAAGGGGTTCAAATGATTCAGTGAAAAATATGAGGGGATCTAAGTATAATTTATCAATTTAGTTTTAGGTGCAAATTAATACAGATTTCTATCTTTGAGGGTGCAAATTGAGATTTTTGATCTTTGGGGTGCACATTGATATAAATTTCTATCTTTGAGGGTGCAAATTGAGATTTTTTATCTTTGGGGGTGCACATTAATACAAATTTCTATCTTTGAGGGTGCAAATTGAGATTTTTGATCTTTGGGGTTGTAAATTGAGATTCAAACTATCTTTCGGGGTGTAAAATGAGATTATAAAATCTCATTTTGACCCTGAAAAAATTTAAAAAAAAAATTAATTTGCTCTCTGAATTATTAATTTTTCTACGTTATTCTCTCAAAGAAATAAAAATATTTGGTCGAATAACTTATTTTCATTTGGGCAGCCATATATTTTGTATCAAGTCAATCAATCAAGAATTATAAAATAGAAGAACGATCAAATAAAAATAAGACAGTGGACCACATTGAAACATTTTTATTTTTTTGAAAAAATAATGTAAAAAAAAATAATTATTCATGGGACAAATTAAAAAATTTTGAATATTTTAAAAGACAAAATAAAATTTACCCTAAACATTCGGTGTAATGAGGGTGTTACCATTATGAAAGTGAACTTTACTTTTTATATAGGCTTTAGTAATGATGCTCACGTAGTGTTATTGTTATATTTAATACTAGTTATTTTTCGTGTTTGAAGGCACAGAGTAATAAAAAAAATTGTCAACAATAAATATATTTGTATTCACACTCAAAATCAAATTACAAACATAAAAGAGAGATAAAAAAATTTAAGTATCGATTGTAATGGGGGTGAGCGACGTTAGTGATGGTAGACGATAGTAGTGATGGTGGGAGACGATGATGATTGTGGTGGGTAGTGACAATCATGGTAGTGGTGGTAGCCGCGAGTGACAACGGTGATAGTGGCGATGAAATTTTTGGTGACAATAATGGTAGTGGCAGCAGTGGTGGTAGTGGGTGTGGGAGGTGGTGGACGACGATAATGATGGTTAGTAGTGGTAGTGGTGGGACGACGGCGGTGGTTGTGGGCAGTGACGATGGTGGTGGTGGGCAACGATAGGTGTTTCTAGACGACAGTGTGATGAGTGATAGTAAATGGATGCAGTGGTGAGTATGGTGGAGGTAGGTAATAGTGGGTGACTGTAATGGTGGGCAATGACGAGTGGTGATAGTAAGTGTGGTGGGGATGGGTGACAATGACTGGTGGTGATAGTGGGCAATGACAGGTGATGATTGGTCGTGATAATGGGTGACGGTTAGCAATAATGATAGTGGTGGGTGCTGACAATGGGGCGACGATGTTAATGGGATGATTGTGGTAATGGTAATAAATATAAGAATAAGATAATGATGGTGATAGTGGACAACGATGATAGCAATCAATGGTGGGTGACGATAGTAATAATAGTGACAGTGGGGCAATAAGAGGGGTGGGTTGCAAATGGGGCAGTGGTGGTGGTAGGGGTGTAAGTGGGGTTGGGGCAGTGGTAGTGGGTGACAATGGGCCAGTGAGGGGGTGGGGTGCAAGTGGGGCAATGATAGTGGTGGTAGTTTATGATGATCGTGAGTATAGTGATGGGGCGGTGAAGGTGGTGGTGTTAAGGCAGGGGTAATGATGATGGGTGGGGCAGTGGAGGTGGTAGTAGTGGAGAGCTGTGGTAGTGGTGGTGGAGCAGTGGCTGTGATAGGGTTGAGATAGTTGTTTTGGCGGTGCCGGCGTCAACTGTGGTGATATGGGGGTGGGTTGTGGTGGCAGTGGTGGTGGAGCGGTGGGGGTAATGGTGATAGAGATAGTGGTAGAGCGATTCCAAACACTTTTTTTTTAAAAAAAATATTTATGAGAAATAATTTATAAAAACACTTTTAAAAAATTACTCCAAAAATACCTTTAGGAGTCTATTTTTTCTATTAAATTTAGGGTTTTAATATTAGCCATTAAAACACTTATGAGAAATTTTTTTTTTTTTAAAGTACTTATGAGAAATAATTTCTAAAAATACTTTTAAAAAATTACTCCAAAAATATATTTAGGAGCCTATTTTTTCTATTAAATTTCGGGTTTTAATATTAGCCATTAGATTAATTTTAAAATAAAATTTAAAGAGATAATCGCGAATAGTAAAAGTCGTTTTGTTTATCTTTTGATAGTTGAATTATATTGTACTTTATTATCTAGATATACTAATTATTATTTATTCCTTCAAGCACAGGCAGTGGTGGGGCGGCGATGGTGGTAGTGGTGGTGACGGCGACGATAGTGGTGGTGGTGACGGCGACGACAGTGGCGGTGGTAGTGATGGTGACGACAGTGGCGGTGGTGGTGATAAAAATAGTGGTGGGGTAGTTTCAAACAATATTTTTTTTTTCAAGTACTTATAAGAAATAATTCATAAAAGTACTTTTAAAAAGACATTCTAAACACACCCTTATGACCCTATTTTTCTTATTAAATTTAGAGTGTTAATATTAGCCGTTAGATTAATTTTAAAGTAAAATTTAAAATGATCTGAACCGCGAAAAATAAAAATCATTTTGTTTATTTTTTAATATTTGAATTGTAAACTACTTTACTATATAGCTTTTCTCAAAAAATAGAATTTGCTATAAATTGTTTGATGTAATTTTAACTAAACAATCTTCAATCTTAATTTTGGCTAAATCTTAGTTGTTATTTTCATCAACTAGACTAACAATTGAGAAGAGATAAAATAGGAGACTAAAACTCAGTTGATGGCTCTCTAAATTTTGTGACTTGCAAACTATTAGCAACATTGAATTTAAATTTGATTTGAATAACATTATTCGACGAATATAAAACTTTAAATTAGTTGTTTTCACGAATATTGTTTCTAACCAGAAAGAGAGCTTGCTTGGTGTAAATTATTTAACTGAAAGACTCAAGAATATAAATCTTAAAATTAAATTTGTGTACACAATAATGAAAGTAAAACCAAAGCAATCACAACCTTGACAGAGGCCCTGAGAAAATCTTTCTTAACTCCTTCCTCAATATTTTTCCTGCTGGACTTTTGGGAATGAAACTAGTAAATGCTACGCGCCTTATTTTCTTGTATGGTGCAACCTGCAGCCAAGAGGAGTAAAAAAAAGACTATGCTATTAGCTCATGCATAAGGATGAGGAGATTCTTGAGAAGTAATCAATCAAATTTTCAAGAATGGTGACTAAATAAATGAAGTTCTATTTTTGAATCAAATATCAAATAAATTCAAGATTCGTAATTTTGATCCGTTCAGAGCATCCCCTTCTACCCTCTCCCTGTCCCTCTTCTTCACATGCCACCTCCTGAGGGCGGCGCTGCGCTCAAAAATTGAACAATGGAGAAAAGATATTTACAAACAAAAGGCTTACACAAAAAGAGTGTATAATGCATATACATTTAAGGAAATCACCTGTTTTGCTACAAATTCCACTACTTGTGCTTCATCAAGGCTGCTTTGAGGACGTCTTACCACACAAGCCATGGGCACTTCACCAGCTTCTTCATCGGGGTATCTGTGAAATTATGATTTAAACTTCAAAAGCCAACCATAACAACATAAAAGTGCTAGTAAATATTGGACACCGAGCTTGCCATTGACGTTCTGTTGAACAATGAATAATGCTTAATTAGATCTATGATTGACACCAGTATTAAGCTCATATCAATGCCAAAGTTCATCTTGATCACCTCAGAATGTAAATTAATCGAAAGCTAGTAAAAAATAGGATGAAGAAAGTCAGAAAAGTGCAGAATTCCATTTTAAAGCTTAAATTCTATGCTATGGAGGCAAGGTGAGGAGTGCATTCAAGCAAAATCAAGGCTTACGGTATCACTGCAGCATCATCAATCTCCAGGTGGGACAGAAGCAATTGTTCTAGTTCAGCAGGGGGCACCTACATTATATACATATATATACCATGTTAGACCTTGAATTTGTAGAATTGTAGTGATAGGTTTCACACACTCGTGGAATATTACCTGGTATCCCTTGTATTTGATTAACTCCTTAAGCCTATCTACGACGTAAAGAAATCCTTCCTCATCAATGTAACACAAATCACCAGTCCTCAACCATCCATCACCAACTAGGGTTTCAGAAGTTTCCTTCGGATTTCCAATATAACCTAAGAAAAAAAACAGATTAGTTATATTCTTCTATTGAGTATTGAAATGGTCGTTTAAAACATGGGTAACGCTAGACCAATTAAAAATGGGATTAAACGATGTGTTAGTGGCGTGATAGTATTTTTAGTCTCATATTACTCATTTAAAATTCAAAATTTGCACATAATGGTCGCACCGCATCATTTGGTCTCATTTTTTTGGGTCTGTCTCCCACTATCCTTAAAACTTTCACTGGAAACTACAATTTAGATTGAGTAGGGCTGGCCCTGACCTGGTGGTTGGCGCAAGTGCAAAGAGGAATCAGGAAGGGTTTAAACTAGAAAGCATTACCTTTCATTACTAAGGGTCCTCTAATCCAGAGCTCCCCTTGGTTTCCCGGAGGCAAAGCAACGCCTGCGTCTGGATCCACAAGTTTTGCTTCACAGTTGGCATTTAGCCTTCCCACTGAACCCCAACGGAGACTTTCTTCTGGACCCACTGCTCGAAAGGCTGAACCAGTTGTTTCAGTCAATCCATAACCCTTGATCAGAGATTTAGAGGTCAGTATAAAAAAAAACATCACAATTCCGAGTTACGAATTAGTTAAGAGTAACACACTGAAATGCTAACTGAATGATTGGACTTTTTCACATAAATAGTTAATTTTGCAAGACCATGGTAGATGGCCTAGATAATGCTGCTAGAGACCAAAATGTAAGGTTGCTTGCTGCTTTGTAAGATCATGATATGTACTACTCCCATGAGCATCAATTCAACATTAGCAATCAGTCCGTTTGCACAATCTGTCAAACAGCCTCAAATGTTGTGAAAATAGCAACAATATCTCCCATCAATTTTAAAAGAGCCAAACCCATAATACTTAAAGCAAACACTCCCAACCGGTGTGTTTGGTTTAAGTATTAGAAAGGATCAGATTTGGACAAACAAGTCCATCCCATACTCATCCATCCGGCTTTTGAGCTAATTATAGTGATAATATCTCCACACCTCATGTTTGATTCAAGTATTAAAAAATAGTGGACTCCACATTTATCTCATCTAATACTAATACTTTGTTTAGATAGAATATTGAATGACTAGTTATTATCCGTGTCTGAAGTCACAGAGTAATAAAAAATAAATATATTTGTATTTATATTTATATTCAAAATCAAATCACAAACACAGAGAAGAGATAAAAAAATTTAAACATTGATTTGTACTTGAGATGTGGTGGACGGTAGAAGATGGTGATGGTTGTGGTGGGTGGCAATGACTGTGGTAGCAGTGGTGGCAATGATGGTGGTGATGACGGGAGGGCGGCAACAACAATGGTGGTGGCAGCGGTGACAGCGACGGTGGCGACAGTGGTGGTGGTGGTGGCGACGGGAGGGCGGCAACAACAATGGTGGTGGCAGTGGCGACAGTGATAGTGGCAGCGGCGGTGGTGGTGGTGGTAGCAACAGCGGCGGCAGAGGTGGCAGCGACGGCAACCGTAGTGGCAATGGTGGTGGTGGGGTGTAGAGGTAATGGTGGGACGGTTTCAAACACTATTTTTTTTTTAATGTATTTATGAGAAATAATTTATAGAAATATTTTTAAAAAGTTACTCCAAACACACCTTTAGGAGTCTATTTTTCCTATTAAATTTAGGGTGTTAATATTAGTCGTTAGATTAAATTTAAAGTAAAATTTAAAGCGATCTCAGCCGCGAATAACAAAAATTATTTTGTTTATCTTTTGAAATTTGAATTGTAAGCTACTTTATTATATAGATAGAATAAACTTTAAATTACTAAAGGATCCTTAAGGTAAAGAATGATATTTATATATTACATATTCTTGAAGGTAAAAATGTATTTTATACAAATACTCCCCAACCGGAGTATTTAAACCCCCCAAATAGATAGATTTATTTAAGAGGCTATATTAGTGGATGAATTTCTTTTTTGTTTTGGGGTCAATCTTGGCCGGTGAATTGTAGGCATGACATTCCAATTAAAAGTAGTAATGATACTATTTAGATATAATTTGGTGATTTAATTCATTAAAATTATTAAATTAATAATAAATTTCAACTAAAATTAGAGTCTAATGCCAATCTAATACCAACCATTAGTTGGATAATTAGATTGAGCCTTCAGTGGTGGACACTACTAACCTGACATAAGAGAACACCCGGAAATTTTGTTGTAAATGTTCTGATCACGTCCTTGCCAAGTGGCGCACCACCACAACCAACCTTATCCAACGACCTCAAATCATAGCCATCCCTCACATCTCCCTTCGTCATAGCCACCAACACCGGCGGCGCCACAGCCACATCCGTCACCCTGAACTCCTCCACGGCTCTCAACATTTTCCTCAAGTCAAACCTCTCCATCACCACCACTGTCTCACTTAGAGCCACAGACTTCACACTGTAAAAAAACCCAAACACATGAAAGTAAGGCACCGTATACAGCAACACCTCCGGTGACTCCCTCTCCAGTCGCTGAGCTAAAAAAATCCCTACGATCGCAATCAAGTTCCGATGAGTCAGCATCACACCTTTGACTTGCCCGGTAGTCCCTGACGAGTACATGATCGCCGCGATATCAGACTGACTCACTTCGACGGGGGGGCAGAGTTCACGACTGGAACTCGATAACATCGACTCAAACTCAGGCGAGTCAATAAGTATTGTCCGGTATCGCATGGTTGGGAGTTTGTGACACGTTGATGAAACGGCAAAGGCGATCAGTGGTTTAGAGAGCTTGATTTGACGGGAAATCTCGGCCTCGGTGCTGGCTGGGTTGGCGGGAGAGATGATAATTCCGAGAGAGAGAAGAGAGCAGTATAGGATAGGAATTTGGGTTGAATTGGGAGAGAGAATGAATGCAGTGTCTCCTTTGGAGAGGCCCGTTAGGTTTTGCAGAGATGCGGCCAGGGTTTTGGTTTGTTTGGCGAATTCGGAGTAAGAGAGGTGGCGGCCGGTGGCTGAGTTGATCAGAGCGGTTGGGTTGGGCCATGGTGAAGTGAGTTGGAGTGAGAGAGCATAAGAAGCGGCGGAGAGAGGGGTGGTTTCCGGTGGAAGAGTGACGGGTGGTCTGAGACTGTGGAAAGTTTTGGTTTCTGAGCAGAAGCCACTCTTTGGGTCCACGGATTTGTCCATCGATGAAGCTCGGATACAAAATTGAATTAGTGAGCAAAGCTAATTTCGATCGGAACTAGTAGAGTAGTTACCTAACCTGAGTCTTTAAGAGGGTATATTATGTAATATAATTTTGGATTCTCTGTCGTTGCGGTGAGAATCTTTTGACGGGGCAAGTGGACAAATCTTTTGTTTTTGTTTGGTCGGTTTTGTCGTGGCATCTCCAAACATTTACTTAAATTTTGATGATATATACCAACTTGGAACAGTTAAGATGAAAGTAATCTGATGTGAGCGTGAATCAGAGTTATGAAATTTGTATACGATGCTAATTGATAAAATATTCAGGGAATTAATAAGGTGTACACAGTAAAAATATAGTAGTTTATCAACTCAGGAGCTCGACTAATCTATTCTTCAATGGAAGTTCTTGCTCTTTCTATTTTATTCACGATGATTACAAAGTTGTTATGACTTCCTCTTGCCACTAGGGTCCTCTCCCTTGTTAGGAGGTGTTACAGTACATTTATAGGATCATTTCCTGTTAAGTGGGATTCTAGCCAAAATTCTTGCCCTTATTTCGTGGGATTCTCCCTAATTCTAGAAGAAGATCTTGGTTGGTTGAGATTAGGTGTCTTGATTATAGTTTCCTAACGCTTTTAGGAACCTCTCGTGATCTTCCAGCTATTGCCTTAGTTGTTATTGCCCTTGGTTATCTCGAAGGGACCTCCAGCTCTACTCTTTCGAGTTCTGTTCGTTTAGTCTGACCTCCTGAGCTGATATTTGGGATTTATTTTGAGGTATCATCAGTTGCCCCCCAGCCCTTGGCCCAAACGAGCTTGGGCATGGACTGAGCTGCTTTTACCTTGGATCAGACCTGCGCCTAACTGACCTTAGCCTGCATGTGAGATGCACGTGAGAGGGGCTTTTTGACGGTGGCAGCAATCATGACTCCCTTGGTTCCTGCGCATGCCTTATCTCATGTCTTTCAAGCCTTAAATGCTCAAAACGGCTAAAAGAAAACGTACAAAATCACCATTCATCTTCTACGCTGTTCACCTTCACCTCTGGCTCTTTTTTTCTGTGATTTCTGGGCTTTCCTCCACACGATTCCCTTATTCTCTGCTCTAGACTATGTTTTTTGGGTTCGACTCAAAATCCTGCTTTGTTCCTCTCCTCCAATTTTGCTCTTTGGCTGCTGCTTGTTACTCTTTTCCCTGTTTAGGTACGTTTTTCTTTTGCCCCTTTCTCTTTCTCTTGCCTTTCCTCACTCTGGATCCCTCGACTTCGAGGTGGCTATTGTTTTTTTGGGTTTTTCAATTTTTTTTCTTTTGGAATCTTGATCGTTGCCTATCTTCTCTTCCCTGCTTTGTGGATTGGAACTCTATTGTGCAAATTCTTACTGTCGGGAGGTACAGTGTTGACCCTAGGATTATCAGGGGGTGTTTAGTTAGTATTCCTCCTTTTTATAATTCTTTCGATTTGTCAATCATGTCTGTCTCCTCTGGAGCAACTCCCTCCTCTGTTTTTCTCCTAGGCGACAGGTCTGCCGAGAGAGATTCTGATTTAGGGGATATAGGTGATGAGATTAACAACTTCTCCGGTGTTGAGGTTGTCGATACCGAGGTGGACTCCAAGGAACTCCCCTCATCTTCCTCTCATGTATCTTCTAGTGCTGACAAGGGTAAGGGCAAGGTGAGTGAGGTTGGGATTCCTGATAGTACAGCGGATATGAGGGCTGTCTTTAGGTATGCTGAGCTCGTGGGTCCCAGTGAGGTGGATCCTATTCTCATGCAAGCTCTTAGTGTTCATTTTAATTTTTTTCCTGGTGTTCAGCCCTGGTGCCCGGATAAACTCACCCCATATGTTGCCCAAGTGCACAAAAAAAATTGTTTTTTTTGTGGCCGCTTTCGAGAATGGCTTTCGCTTTCCTATGCATCCCTTCATCAAAAATGTTCTGCAGCACCTCAATGTCTGTCTTGCTCAGCTTTCTCCTAACTTCTGGGATGTTTTAGTGGGTCTTTTACTTTTATTTAAGAAGCATGGGCTTGAGACTCCCACCATTTCTCTGCTTATGGACCTTTTCAATGTCAAGCTTACCTCAACTAAGAGCTTTCTATATGTTTCTAGGCGGACCTCGTCTAGGCAGATCATCACACACCTCCCGAGTTCTCATAAAGGCTGGAAAAAGAATTTTTTTTTCGTTGGGGGTGTCAACTGGGAATACAACCTTGCTGATAAAACAGACACTCCTGGGATTTTCAGAGCCCAGATAACTTAGGTGAGTTCTTGCTTGACTGAACTGCGATTTAAAGATTTATGAGTTGTTTTCCTGACCTCTGCATTTTTGGTGTTCCCCCTTTCTTAAGCATTCGACCTAAACTCAGCGCCAAGGACAAGCGGGTGAAACTGAAGTTGGCTAAGTGCAATCCAGAGAAGTACTCTAAGCTCCTTAAGCCCTGGGAATTAGAAATGCAGGGATTCGGACCTCCTCCAATCCCACTTTCCCTTATCTGACCTGAGGACATAGAAAGTAATGCTCTTTTCCTTATTTGATTTCATTGTTTTTCTCCATTTCTTTTTCCTTTTGACTAAGGTCTTCTACAATGAAGCTTACCCCTAAGATGCTCCAAGCTAAGGTAGAGCTATTGAAGAAGAAAAATAAGGGTGGTACTAAGCGCAAGGCTGAGGACAGTTCTGGTGGGAGCCCAGTTACTCGAGCTAAGGTTCAGAAAATGGGTACTTCCTCTGCCTCTGCCTCTATCCAGAAGGCTTCACCATCCCCCCTACATGCTTCACCAACCTCAGGACTTCTTCTCCCCCAAGGAACCCAACTTGCCACTAAAGATGCTCCTAGGCAAGATGAGTCCTCCCCTTCTACATCTGAAGTTGAAAGGGCCCTGGAGACTGCCCGTACTTTCCCTGGTCGTGTTGCTTCTGCATCTACCAAGGAGATCTCCCAACCTCTCATGACAGGCAAAGGGGTCTTCTCGAAGTCTGAGAATTCTCTTATTACCGATGTAAAGCGTGCTGCAAAGGTCATTGCCTCCATTATCCCAGAGTCTGACATTGATGCGGTCACTTCTGTACCCCTGGGAACCTATATTTCCATTGCGGTGTATGGCTGTACCTCAGTGAGATTCTAATTTGTCAAATTCTCCTTTTTCTTTTTCTTTTTCTTTTTTTTTTTGTCGTGCGCTCTTCCCTTTACACTAATCTTTCATGCTTGTCTTCAGACCGTCATTCAAATAAGCAGCTTGTTAAAGCGAATCCAAGCCCTAGAGGGGTCAGCCAATACTTTCAAACTTTTGAGTTGAAGTGTGTCAATCTGGCCTTTGAGAATAATGACCTTAAAATCCAGGTAAAGGAGTTGCAAAAGTAAGTGGAACAACAGTCTTCCCTTGCCAAGTCCAGACAAGAGGAGCTCAGCAAGACTAAGGAAGACCTCCAGTCAAAAATCAATGACTGGATCGAGGAAAGTCAGAAGTCCCTTGATACTTTGACTTCCTTCAGGAACATAAAAAGGGAGTACGAGGTGCTAGCAGAGGTCAATGATACTGTCAGGGATGAGTTAGGGGCTGCTAGGGAGGCGCTAGAGGTGCGAGACACTACCATCTAGAAAAAAGATAAGCTGATTGCCCAGCCAGAGGATGACGTTCTCACTAGGTGGGCAAAATAGTGGATTGTTTTCCAGGGTATAGCTGAAAGGACTTACCTTAAACTGAACTTTGACTTTTCAATTCCCCTTGAGGAAGAGGCCGAGGGGTCTAATGAAGAAGGGGATGATGCTCCTGCTCCTCCTATTTCTGAAGATGTGCCCATAGACTCAGGAGGGCTTATTCCTCTAGTTGGGACTTCAGCTCAAGATGCTTCCGCCTCCTTAGGCATCTCTACTCCTCTGGTTGCTGATCTTGCTTCTTCCCTCCCTGATGAGCTGGCCACAAGAACCTTAGTTAAATCTGAGGTCTCTACCTCTTTGCCTGCTCTTGGCCCTCTTGAAACTTCAACTGTTGTTATGCCAGAGAGGTCACCTGCTGAGCTAGAGAGCCCTTCTTCCATTCCTAGTGCTGAGACATCAACTACTGCACTGCAGGGCCCTTCATCTACTCTCCTTTCAAAAACTTAGAATTTGTAGCTTTGGGCTAATTATCTCAGAATTGTAATATTTTGAAACAAAAATTTCAGAATTGTAGCATTTTGTATCTTTAATTTACTACTTATAACTCTCCTTTTTCCCTTTGATTTTAATTTGTTGCTCTACTCTACCATCAATTGAATATGATATTCCTCAACTCTTTGCCCCCTTTGCTTCAGGGGGTCATTCAAATCTCCTTGAAGTAAAAAGGTTAGGAATAATTGCTGATGTGTCTAGCTGAGCTTCCAGCTTCTCAACCTACTTCTGTTCGAACTCCAGCAACTGACCACCAGAGCTCTAGCCTTACTTCATCCTTTAAGGAGCTTCCATTTGCTAACTTGCGTAGCTAACCCTTAAGGAGCTTCGATTTGCTGACCTGCATAGCTGACTTGCTCTTGGGCTAAATAACCTCCGAACTAGCTCGAGGGGACCCTTTGACAAACCTTAGGAGTCATGTGCACGTGTAGTCATTGGTCAGGTTCTCTTTTCTGCTCGTGAGTACAACAGATCTGATTAGGTAAAGTGAAGTGCTTACAGTCATGCTCTGTCCAATGGTTCTGATGTTTCGAGGTCCTGGATTGCCATAGACCACACGCATGGTGACAATCTGGAAGAGCATGCCTAGATACAGCTGCTTGAGTGCATTGACTTCCTCATTTCTGACTTGCTGACCTCTCGATGTGTAAGGTTTTGTTTTGAACCTTCTTTTATGCTCTGGACCCCTCCTTGGAGGTCTGCTTATTTTATCCCGGGGTGTCATTGATGTCTGCTTTCAATGCATATCCATCCTACCAAAAAGGTTCCTGCTTCCTTAATTTGAAAACCTAAAGACCCACCGACCTAAGATTTTGTGTAATTAACAACTTCTTAAAAATTTGGGGTCTTCAAAGGATGTCTATAAGTACTGGCTATCACTTTCCTCCAGGTATCCCTTTGTTATTCTTGAGGGCTTAATGCCTTATATCTCATTCTTTTCTCTTTTTCGCTTGAGTCCACTATGTCTGCCCCATTTTCTGCTCTGTTTCAAGAGCGAACCGCCTTTGGAGTTGAGTGGATGTGACATACTCGCTACTTTATTTTC